TTCTTCCTTCCCTTCTTGAGTTTCTTCAATCTATGTTATACCCTTTCAATTGTTTCTCCATCCCAGGGTTTGCCCCTTGCCTCTTCACCCAAGTTTCCGTTAGCTCTATTATATCGAATTGCCTAACATATTCTCAGTCGTCTTCCTCTATGCTCCTAATCCTCGCCACGTTCCAGAATAGTATATTTACTGCCTCTCCTCCCTCTCTCTCCCTCCCTCCTCTCTTTCTCTTTTTTAGTCAAACCCTTCCGCACTTTTTCCTACCATTTTTCCCTCTTTCTAGCTCCACCGTCATTCTTCTTCCTCTGACTTAACCCCGTTATGCCACATCTTTACCTCTTTACCTTTACTTTTTATTACTCTCGCTTTTCTTCTTACTTCCTCTCTTATCTTCCTCTGCTTCCACGTCCAGTCCTGATCTATGTAGATCTTTTTCTGTCCTAGCTTCTTTTTCCTCTTCATAATTCCTTCTTTTTGTTTCCATGAAGCGCATCTAATTTGTCACATCTTTTTTCCTTTTTCTCTCCGATCATGCCTCCCCGATATCCCTCCTATTCTTCTCAGATTCACTATCTCTCCTTTCATTTCTAGTTCCTCCCTTAACCAGTCCTCTGCCTCTCTCTTCTTTTCCCATCTTAACCCACCCTCTAAGTCTGTCACTATTATATTGTTCATCCTACTTTCTCTATCCATTTTTCTCTCATATACTCTATTTCTTCCTTATTGTCTACTTCTATTCCTCTTTGCTTCTTGTTTCCTCCTTCTATACTTTCTTTTAGTTTCACACACTATTCTGCCAACTGGTTCATCCTCTCTCCCCATTTTTCCTGCAGTTTCTTTTCTCTACGTTCTGCTTTATCCCTTTCTTCTTTCATATCTTTTTTCTTTTTTCTCTCTCTCTCTCTTGTTCTCTCCTAACTTTTCCTATTTCTTTCTCCCATCTTTCTTCTCTTTTTTTCTCGTCTGCCTCCATTCTTTCGATTTTTTACATTATTTCTTTAAACATTTCTGTCCATTCTTTCTTTCTTCCTCCCATGCCTCTCTTAAATCTCTTATATCTGCCCGTATCTTTTCCATTATATCTTCTGCACCACTACTTTTTCTCATTTCTCTTATCGTGTTGTGCAATCCCTCTCTCCCCTCTCCTTTTTACCTTCTCTGTCTCCGCCTTTACTTCATATCGCCCCTCCTCTCTGCCTGCCTTTCCCGCTTCCCGATTTTCTCTCTTAACCTCAACTTTTCTTTTTTCTTTATTCCTCTCTCTGCTTTTTCCTCCTCTTCTCCAAGCCTCTCTGTCTCTAGTCCACTTCTCTTCCGCCTCCACGCTCTTTTCACCTCTATCTCTCTCGTCAAACACTTTTCCTCTCTAACTTTCTCACCAAAACTCGAACTCACATCCAAGACACGTCCACTCCCTTCGACGAGTCGAAACTCTCTAACCTTGACCTGACCTTGACCTTTACTACTTGAGGTCAAACCGACCTCGAATTATTATTCAGCGACCCAAAAAACATAAAGATTAGTCATTTTTTTCAACTCATATGTGTGTGTTCAATTTTGACCTTCAAATGCCCTTGACCCAGACGTCATGGGGTCAATTGGACCGCGGATTCGTGATCAGCGGATCAAATTACATGGGAATATATGTGTCGCGTTCAAATATCAGAGACTTGGTTTTTTTTGTGTGCTTGTGTTATGTATCTGTATGTGTGTCTAGGAGAGTGAAAAAGTGGAACGCAAGAAAGTGTGATTGGGAAAGTATGTGAAACGTATGAAAGAATTAGCGAATAAAACTGAGTATGAATGTTATGAGTATAAGCGTATATCTGCAAATGAAAAAGTCATCAAGATGCATGAATGGATTGAAAAAGTGAATAATAAGTGTATGCAAAGAGTGAATGATGAACCGGAAAAGGGAAGTTTTGTTTGGTGGAATGAAGAGATGAGAGATGCGAGGAGGAAAGCGAGAAGGGCGCGAAAGAAGTTTCAGTCGGAGAGAAAGAGAAATGGGGATAAATGTCATGTGAAGTGGAATAAGTGGAAAGAACGGCGCGTGAATATAGAGTGTCTGAAAAAAGGAAAGAATAATGATTGGATGAGATTTGTTGGAAAAAAGGGATCGAAACATCCATGGGATCGCGTGTATAAAGTATGTATGGGTAGACATGAAAGAAATGCCGTGGCTGGATTGAAAACAGCGAATATATGGACAAAGAATTAGTGTAAGAGTGCGAATGTGTTGTTGAATGAATTCTTCCCTCCGGATGATGGTATTCCCATCCCTGAGGTGGAGACGAATGAATGTGTAAGTGAATGTTTTGATCTAAGTGAGCTTGAGTGTGCAATTGAGAAGATGAGAATGGGCAAAGCACCGGGTATGGATGGGATTACAAATGGGTTGATTAGGAGAGTGTATGAGAGCGAGCCTGAGCAAGTAAAGAGTATGTATAATGGATGTCTAAACGAGGGGATTTTTCCGAATGAATAGAAGGAGGCCAGGGTCATGACGTTGCTAAAGGAGAGAATGCTTGTTGCGCGTATGGATGTAAAAATGAATGGGAAATGGAATGAATTGCAAGATACCCATATTATTATGGATAGGAAATGTACAGAAGATGCGTGGATGAAGGTGAAGAGTATTGTGAGTATGAGTGAGAGAAAGAATGTATTAAGGATGTTTGTAGATTTTAAGGGTGCGTTTGACAAAGTATTATGACGTGTGTATGTATGAACTAGAAAAGAATGGATGCAGCATGAAAGAATTGAAAGTATAGCGCAATTATTTTAGTAATAGAAGATGATGAACAGCATAGATGAAATCTCAAGAGAGCTTGAAAACAGGGCCTCCAGGGATCCATTGCTGCATCGTTCCTGTGGAATCTCTGTATGAATGCGTTGATGAATGACTTAGCCAGAATAAATGAAGAAAGAAGAGAGAACGAAAGAGTGATCATTCAAGAAATAAATGAAGAAAGAAGAATGAGCTCGTAATGTGAATGACCTGGTGCCACGCTCCTTCGTAGAGGAGGACTTGGCCTACGCCGATGACTTTCCACTGCTCGTGGAGGGTGACACCAGGACTGAAATCGAAAGAGTGGCAGTAAAGAGGATGAAACTTGTGTATGAATGGGGAAAAAGTGTTGGTGTGGATGTATCCGAGAAAAAAAGTATAGGAATGATTTTAAAAGGTGGGTTACGAATGGAAAATGGAAGAGTGTATGTAGAGTTGGGTGAGAATGATGTGAGAAAAATAAGATATGTGAATAGGGTGAAGTATCTGGGTTTGAATGTAAGTGAAAATCTAAATTTTGATGTACATGTGGATAGTATGAATGCGAGAGTGTCTGGGGTTTTGGGTAAACTGCGTAGGATTTTAAGGAAAGATTGGGGTCTTAAAAAGGGAACGCTGAGTGTGCTTGTCAAGAAATTGATTGTTCCGATTGTGATATATGGAGCGAGCGTGTGGTATAAATGTTTAGTCAAAAAGAAGAAAATAAGGAAATAGTTACGTGTCAGAGAATGGTTTTGTACGCGTGTACAAGAGTGTGTCGGACTGTCTCTACGGAGACGATGCAAGTTATCTTTGGGTCGCTTCCGTGGGACATTGAATGTATGAAATGTGTGTTCCTGTATAGAGTGAGAAAGGGCCTTAGTTTGAATGGAAGTGCGAATGGACTAGAATTAGTTACGGATGAGGATGTGAGAGATATGACGATCTATGATGTGAAAATGTTGATGAATGATAGAATAAATGAAGTTTGACAGAGGAGATGGGATGCAAGTGAGAATGGAGGAGTTTTTAAAGAATGGATAAAGGATATCACTTTTGCAGGGCGGGCGAAGGGATTTGACCCAGGCCTGCAGGTGACTTATAATTTGACTGGACATGAACTCATTCCTCTATTCGAGAAACTTGACAGACTCCCCAGAATGCATATGTGGGTGGGGGAATGAGGACTGGGTGCATGTATTGTGTGATTGTGATATTTATGCTAGTTTTAGAAATTTAGAAGGCATGAATGTTGTGTGTTGTTGTGAAAATGGGAAATAAATGGAGCGTGAAAGATGTTTTAAATGATCATGTGACGTATAAATGTATGTGTATGTTTGTGGAAAGAGCGTACAAGATAAGAGCTAGTGTGATAGCGTGAATGAATGATGAGGAATGAATTAGTTGAGGAATGAATGTAAAAATGCACGCAGGGGGACCTTGTTTCTCTCTCTCCGCTAATTCTCTGCGCGAAGATGAGCAAGGGCTTGGTCTTCGGGTATGGCGCACCCGCATATCCGAGCTGGCTGACCGGTCCCGAGGGTGGTAAGACCCTCGACCGAGACTCGTACCTGAGTATAAACAGTACCACGGGATATCGGGGGCCCGCGGAGAATGGCATTACCGTGCTCCGTCCCGGTCGCTGGGTAGGTCTCATAGTGGTAGTGGTTGACACCCCATGTCGCGCGGTAATAGCCAGGGGTGGCTGAAAGAGGCTTGGAATGCTCGTTTGCATTAGCAGCCTCTGGAAACCGCCTCGGGCTACGACGTGTGAGTTGCGGTCTTAACTCGGGGAGCGGCCTACTTAGCCGTTAGGGATATAGATGGATCCCGACCCCCACCGATGGTCCCGTGGAGGCTTCTCCCCCCCCCCCCCCCCAACGGGAATCTCTAGACCCTGAAACAGCTACAAAAGCATTAGCGCCCCCTAAAGCCACTTTTTTTAATAATTTGTGCGGACGATCGTGAGTATAACCTCTGAAGTTTGTCAGTTGTTATACCGTTCGAAAGCATCAAAAGGAAAAAAATGACACTTTTAAAAAGTATTCGAGTAACTTTTTAATTTGTCAAAAGTTTTAATTTTATAAAGAAAATATTCTTATTGGTTTATGAGAATTCCTGAAATATCAATAAAAAAAGCATAATGAACCTATCAGAAAAGAAGTATAATACTTCATTATATTTTAATATACTTTTTCAAATAAATTTAATTTGTCTATAATCTACGTACCTGTCTAGTGAATCGTCAAACATTATATACTCGCTATTAGTAGCACTTCCCAAAATGATTTCTGTGCGATCTACTGCTTCTTGATCATTAAAATATCCCCTTTGATAACTTTCAGCTCTAGAAATTGGTTGTGGTGCAGAACAATTTTTTCCGTAACTTTTTCTTCTATGCTCTGTAGATCTTAAAGAATCTGATCGAATGAGTAAAGGTTGATCATTATCGTCCGTAATAAATGAGTCATTTCTATTTATTTGAACATATGAATCTCTTTTATTACGAGAATCATCAAAATTATATTCATAATCACATGAATTTTCTCGATGGAACTTCTGTAATTCAGAATTACACATGGAATTATCACTCAAACGACTTTGGTAACTGTAGTGAGAATGTTCCGAGTCTTTTCTCTTATATTTTTCAGGTCGACTATCAGCAAAATTCTCATCCTCCATTAGTTCTACTGGGTTCAATTCATCATTTATCAATCGACTATTATCTTCCATATTTGTGCAAATTGCCGAGGAATCTTTAATTGCTGCAGTACTTATTCGATTAATCATATCATTAGCTTTTGAAACAACTGGCTGAATATGAGTTTTGGAGAAACTACTTAAAGCAATTAGAATCGGACTTGAACTATTAGAGGTCCTTGTTAAATATGCCTCAGGTAGTTTTCTACGTTCAGTATCATTGGAAGAAACATTTTCTACTCCGTATACATTTTCAAGAAGATCATTATTTTCAAATTCAGAAGAGTCAATATAATTTTCTTCAATATTTGCATTAAAACTTTCATTTTCTTTTAGTGTGGACTCAAATGACTTGTTGTTAGTATTTTTAATATGTAATTTTGTTTCATTTGTAGACATAACTAGATCTTTATAATCGGAATTGGGAAATTCTAAATCATCGATTCTAATTTGTTCCGTGCTATCCATTTGTTTTGTGACTTGTATTTTGAAAGAATTTTTTTTATGAACTTTTTCGATATTTGAGAATTTTTGTTCATATGATTCATAATCATTGCTACGAATATCTTCTGAAAATTTATTGTTTTCACTTATATCATCATGAAAAGGAGTGTCAATTGAATCTTGTGACTTAAAACATGAATTCTTGAGATTATGAGATGGAATGACTCTTGGATGATCAATTTCTTTATTTGAATTCAGAAAAGGTTCTGCAAAGACAAAGTTTTGTTCTTTCATTAGTTGATCGTTGTAATAGTTTTCCAAAAAGTAAGTATGAGTGTTCGTATTTGTTGAACCTTCATCATACATTTTATTTGTTAAAATTACGTTTTCCGTATTTCGGTCAGCATTCAACTCAAGCAACTCATAAAATTCTTCGTTTTCCAGAAAAGTTTTTCCAGATGCTGGTTCATTGAATTGCTCTTCAAAATATGTGCTTGCAAGTTGCTCTGCCGAAAAATGTTCTTTAAATTCTTCATCTTCAAGTGAATGTTTTATTTGTAATTTTTCTGAAAAATTCATATTTGCATGAGTTTGTTCATATATAGATTTACTACTTATACGATTTTTATTGTATGTATCTTTTTCTGAGTATTCAGATTCGTGAAAATACATTTCTGAACATTGTTTATTATTATATGATTGATTGCTTAAGTCGTGATCGAAATATTGAATATCATTGTCATTTTCGTAGTATAGTTTTTTTGTAACTCCTTCTATAATGTTATCTTGATTCGTTTCAAAAGTGTCAAATAACGAAGTTGAATTTGAATATGTATTATTCAAATCAATGTTATCAGAGCAATTTTGATAAAAAAGTTTATCTACCACATGATAAGGTACATATGTACAATTTTCAATAATATCGTTATTTACAACGATTTTCGTTTTATCAGCTACATGTTCTAAATTATTTTGTTCTAATACACTGTTAAAATTATCTGTATTTTCCAAAGAAGGCTGTGTTGAGACCGGTATTGTAACGTTTATGGGACTAAAATTGATGTCATCATAACTATTACTATCCTCGTAATTTTTAGATAAACTGTTTTCATAATTTTCATCATAGTTATATGATACATAAATTGAATTGTTACAATAATTTTGTTGTGAATGTGTCTCCAAAACTGGCAGTTGTCTTCCTGATATTGAACTGATTTCATTATTTTTCACTCCAACTATATCATAAAATTTGGTTGGAGTGAGTGGCAGTTTTTTTGCTGTATATTCTGTGTAATTAATAATTTCGTGCATACAGTCAGATAATTCTTTTTGACGAGTATGAGATCCACTGAAAATTTAAAATGGAATAACATTAACAAATTTATAAAATTAGATACATAAAATTGGCAATATATTGAAAATAATATTTTACACTTAACATTGTTATTCTTATAGGTCGTTAATTGATTATGCAAAAATTGACTTACTACTATCTGAGACTACTCCAAATTAACTATTTACCTCATGTTCATAGTTATGAATTATGATTACGATTATAGATATAAGCTTTGGAATTAGATTGTTGGATAAATATGAAAGTGAGATCGTTCTTTTAAAGGTAATATAAAACATGAATATTTTAGGTTTTCCTATTTGATTAGGGAAAAAGTAGATCCCTATTATCCAATTATAATGTTATTAGTGTTGTTCGAGAATCACGACCTAGAGACGGCAGGACACTTGGGACGCGAGAAGACCTTCGCCCGCGTCGCCCAATCCTATTACTGGCCGGGAATGTACACGGATGTTAAGGGATACGTCCAAAAGTGGCAGGTCTGCCAACAGTGCAAGGTCGAGCAGCGACCGCCGCGCGGGCTCATGCAGGACCGAACGTGGTCTATGCCTTGGCAAGTGGTCGCGGGCGATATCGCCGGACCCTATCCGAAGAGCCCTCGAGGGCACGAATACGTCCTAGTATTCATCGACGTATTCACACGATGGGTCGAATGTATACCCATACGTAGTGCTAACGGCAAGACGATAGTGAAGGAACTCCGGGAACGGGTAATCCTACGTTTCGGTACGCCAAAGATCTTCTTGTCCGACAATGGCACCGAGTTCCGCAACAAGTTGGTAGACGGGTACCTAAGAGATCAGGGGGTAAAACGGACCTTCACCCCAACCTATACCCCGCAGGCTAACCCTACGGAAAGGGTTAACCGTACCTTGAAAACGATGATAACGTCGTATCTGCAAGGGAATCACAGGGAATGGGACCGAGCGCTACCCGAACTCATGTTCGCGTTGAACACGGCCGTCCATAGTTCCACCGGGGTCAGCCCTGCATGCTCAACTACGGCAGACAACCGGGAGCCCCGAATACTCTCCGGAAACGGATGGACGAGCTCGCCGCGCAAGAGGAGAGTTTGCTTCGAATCGGGCAATGGAACGAGCACATGCAGAATAGCCGTTCCGCCGTTCAGCAAGCTCACGAGAGCGCTTCGGGTGAGTCCCTGAGGCAGGCAAAGTATTACAACGCCAAGCGCAGGGACCACAGGTTTAAAGAAGGTGACTGGGTGTAGAAAAGGAATCGCGTACTGTCCCGCGCGGCACAGGGCATTTCCGCGAAACTAGCACCCAAGTTCATAGGCCCCTTTATCGTCACGAAGGTGCTCGGCGCCAACTCATATCGCCTCGCCAATCAACAGGAAGAGGTCACGGAGCTGATACACGCCAAGGACCTCAAACCCTATTATGGGCGAGATGGCGATATACACGGAAACGGGAGCGCCGACACTGCGGACAATACACTCCGAAATGACGACGCGACAACTCCGAGCTCACCTCGCCGTACTCGTCGTGATCCCCCCAGCCGAGTCCCACTAAATACCTCTCCTACTAACGCGACGAAGCGCCCACGAGGGAGACCTCGTAAGTGCGCGCTAACCACACACGCTACACAACACCGACAGACTACTCGAGCCCCTCCTTCCATCATCGGGAAAAGGAAGAGGGGCAGACCACCGAAAACGACAACCGTGAATGCATGAGACACGGCGAACGAAGGACCTGGGAGACCGACGCCAAGGACCCCACCTTCGACTCCGGCGACGAAGGCCCTGGGCAGCCGAACAGGCGTCCACCTTCGATATCCAAAACTATTCAGGATACTAACTTGCTGAATTATTACAGGATGCAGATCACGCTCGAACAATTCGAGCAAGCGGCAGCCGCCCTCATCGGCTTGGACTTGGGTCCCGCCGTTGAAGGGGTGGTACATGCCACCCTGCACCTTATTGGTGCCAAAAAGGAGGAGAAGGAACGAGCACGGGTACGAGCTCACAAGAGCTCGTCATCCGTGCTCATCGAAGAGCTCCCGACAGCGGACCCTACCGCGATACCGTCGACGACTTCCGGCATCGCGCGCGGCATTACCACGCCGCTGCCCGGACCCCCAGCGGGATCTACCCGCTGAAGGCTCCGACGTCATCCGTTGGCACCCAGATGGAGGAGGGTGCCACCGACGCGACCTGGCGTCCCAGGTTCATTAGCCAGACACCCCCGTCTGGCGAACGGACCTGGGAGGAAATAGTTGAGGGGTTGAGGGAATTCGAACAAGGCTGGGCGACCCTCAACGCCCTCCAACGGACCGTGTACGCCGAATACGACGCGTACGCGGCCGCGGGACACCACCCAGATGATATGAACCACTGGGATAAGGTGGTGTCCCGCCGTCGCCAGTTCGCGTCGGTACTTAAGGAAGTGCAGCGGCGTCACCGCCAGGCCCTCGAGGGCCTGGCGAGTGACCTCCACATGGGCCTCCGATCCCAGTCTCCGATCGTCGGAACCAGGCCAACGGCTCCGGAGATCAGGTCGGGGACCACTCCGCGCCAGGGCTCACAGACGTACGGGGTGAACCTGGTGGTAAACGTAGATGGCAACCAAGGGGGTCAAGCAACGAGGCCCATCCACATTAATGTGGTGGTGGGGCCCGCGGGTGAGGACCTTACGGTCGAAAGACCGTCGTGGTCCGCCCCGAACCGCAGGGACGGGTTGCCGCTGACCCCCAGGGAACGAGGCCTTCCACGGGGCACCCTATTCCGCGCACAGTGGGAAGGGTGCAACGTGTGCCATTACCCCAGGGTAACCCGCACGGACCGCTGCCCCCGCGTGCGACGGCACGCCGACCTGGTCCAAGAGGGGCTGGGATGGGAGGCGCGCGGACGCCCTCCACTCAACGACCAGGGAGAGGAGATGTCACCGAGACCAGCTAGGTGATCCTTCCCTGCCCCCGTGGGCAGGGCCACCGATATCTCGCCCAGCGATATAATAAAGAATAAAATTAAACATCACATGGACTATAACCCTTTATTATCCTTTCTCTTCTCCTCCTCGGAAGGGACAGCGCTAATGGAATTATCGTCAAGGACCCCGTAGGTCCAGACTGTAAGGGGGCTGTGACGGTAAACGTCAAATTAGCTCTAATAACCTAACTTAATTGCTCCCTAGGAGGGCAGCACCTACCGGGGGGACGAAATACATAACGAAGGAATTCGGCGCGCGAGCAGACGGAACGCGCGCGATTGAAACCGAACCAGTGAAACACTGACCATCATTGCGTTCGCCCGCTTTTGTTTTCGCTATCGCCGATCCACGTGCCGTTAACCCTAATACAATAAGGGAGGAACATTCAGCCCAGTGTCACGACAGTAACCGCCGTTGACGTAGTACCATACGTCTGCAGAGGGAAGGGACACGAGCCGCCGAAGGAGAGTGTGTGAGGTTTCGCCATCGAAGGCGAAACCGCGTGTGCGCGAATTCGCAACCTGCGAAAATAAACAAAACAGTTCCGCGCAGTGCGACTATTTATCGTCTGCTCCGTACGCCTGCAATAATAAGGTAAGCTGGCCAGCTTAATCTCGCGATCGCGGTTGCATGTTTAATAATTAATTTCCGACATTCGAAGCGTGCATTAGCGGCTCCAATAACAAAGAACAGCGAGCGTCCCGACAATACGTGTTGTCGACGAGCGAGCGTCGATGTAAACAAACGCGCGGGCCGACCTTATGTAGTATTTGAGTAGTAATAAAAGGTTCTGCTCGTGTTACTAACAAGTGTTTTTCGACTCGTTTACTTCTTGTGCTTCCACTCACTTTCTTATAGGTTAATTAGAATTACTGGTTGACTGACGCCTGTCTCCATATGCTCTCCGGACTACATTTTGAGCATAGATTATTACGTTCGCCCTTTCAACAAAGTCGCGCGAATAAAAATATAATTAAACGGTGTTACCCCGTTACATACCAAAACCTTTGACTAAAGAAGTGAGTACTCATATAATTTATCTTGTGATAAACGTTATACGGCGAAATTATTCATATCTTTCTTTTTCTGTATTTGACTATTTTTAATTGCCTATAATTATAAGTAAGAGTCATTATCCATATATTTGCGCGCACGACTGTACTGATTATTAATTAATTAGCGATTTCGATATTCATTATTTAGGGAATAGTGAATAATAAAGTCTAATAAACCGCGATATCGTGCAGTCTCCTTATAATTAAATATTATTCAATCAAAGTACGGGCGACCCGGAGTACCTGTGAAGCTTGAGAACCGCTCGAGTCGAGACCGCTCTACTGTTAGAAAGGGCCTATATTTTACAGGGTGAATTCGCTTCACTCGAATTAGCACATATCAATAGTATAAAAAGAGCATTTTATTTCATTACCGCGGTTATCAATTATAGTCACGGTCTTTAGTAAACTGTCTAGTATTGAATTGTTGGATAAATATTAAATTAAGACCGAATTGTTACGACGCTTTTCATAACGCTAAAAAACATGTCCTTTTTTATAGTTTGCAAATTAATCATAGAAAAATTTGCTTCATATTATCCAATAATACTTTAAAAAGTGTACTTTACTTTATTGCAATAGTTTTGAATTATTGTAACGATTATAGATATAAATGCTAACAACATAAAATTATCATGGTTTCTCAATTAACTGTGGAAAAAGAAACTCATTATTAATCAATGTGATGAAGAATCACGGTATTCTTCGTTGGGCTCTCGTCGACGTCCATGCGCCGTGCTAGGCTGAGAGTGTGAGTGAATGTGTATGCGCACGTTATCATACCTTTCTTGTCTGTTTGATATATGGGGCAAAGCGCATATCGGAGATGAAAGAAGTGATAGAGCAATGGAGCGAAGAGGAGCAAAGGATAGCAACGAAGAACAAAGAAGGGAGAGAGACACGTGATGCGCGCGATGCAAATGAGCGAATAATTGGAAATTGAAGCAGGTCACTGCTTGTGTGCTCGTTTTTTTTTTGGAGCATATAC